AGAGAAAAAGAGGAAGACCCCCAACGAGATGGATCAGCCAGGTGACATCATTGATGGCATCAAGTGTGGCGGCAGTAGTGAGGTTGGCCCAGGATCGGACATTGTTTTGTACTGCTGTGCATGGGGTCGCTATGAGTCGGTTCTGACTCGATGGCACCTGACAACAACAGCAACTCTAGGCCACACTCTATGCTAATTTCCATGAAAAGATCTCATCAAAACTGATCCCCAAACAATTATCTAGACTCTTTGCCTCCCTGGGGCCCTGCCCAGGGCTCAGCACATAGTAGGGTCTTGCTGAAGATTTCTTGAAAAAACAGTGCCTTTGAGGTAAGTTCTTTCACCTCCATTTTACCGATGAGAAAACTAGGGTTCAGAGAAGTTTAGTCACTAGCCTGAAGTCACACAGCTAGTGCTGGTCACCTATGTGACTCCAGAAGCCATACTCTTGGCCACTCCATCAAGAGGCCTCTTTCACAGGTGTCATCAGAGAAGAGAGACCCAGGACAAGTGTTGCCGAGGGTGAAGTGGAGAGGATGGGAACATTGTTTCTGGAAGAGAATGATCTCTTTGGCATCAGGTGTCCTTGGTGCCATTCTCGGGGTATGGCTTTGGAGGGAGGCAAACCTGGAATCATGGTCGATTGTTACCAGGACCAAGGTCATAGATGCCAGATTAGATTTCCCCTTTGACCCCCAAGGCTGATAGTCCCCCGGTACATTGCTCCACGCCTCCGCCCCTGTGACCCACCTCAGAGGGGCTGAGCTTCCCCTCTGAGCTCCTGCTGGACACGCAGATGCCCCTGCTGCTCAGGATGGGGCAGGCCTGCTTCCTGCTTGGTCTCTGACACTGCCCCAGCTCTCAGTTGCCCCATCTATATTATGAAGAGTTGGTATTGGACAAAGAGTGAATGCTGCTGGGATGTCAGGGCAGAGTGAGGGTGGGCGGGTGCTGGAAGTCAAGTCAGTTGACCTCTCCTGCAAGACGTTCAGAACAGGGGCAGCCTCCAACAACGTGTCAGCCCCCAACAATCCCTTTGAGACTGGGCCTGGAGGAAGGGACCTAAAAGGGGTGGGAAGAGGGTTTATGACTGGCATCCCCACTCTTCCTCTCAGAGGGGGAGGCTCAGGAGTACCCCACACATGTCTCCCCTGTTGTCATCTAAGACTTGCTGTGGTTGTGTTAAGTTCTGACTCACAGTGACCCTGTATTGGCTTTCTGAGGCTTTAAATCTTTGAGGGAGCAGAAAGCCTCATCCATCGCTGTGGAGCAGCTGGTGGGCTCGGATTATGGACCTTGGGGCTCACAGTCCAGTGCTTATCATGTGGGGCGGGTGGTTGGGACGGGGAGGGTGGATGGGCTATAGAAGGGGAGAGGAGAACATCAGTGGCTTGCTTCCTTGGAGCCTGAAGCAGGGAAAGTTCCTAGTGAGCTAGCAGTGACTCTGGGGCCACAAGGCCTGGGGAAGTCCTGTGACCAGGCCTGAGTTCTGGGGACAGAAGAGGTGAGTCCACAGCTTTAATTTCTGCTTGAACAGATGGGCTGAGGGTAGGGTAAAGGGTTAAAAAACAAACAAACATCGTTCTCTACAACCCTGAGACCAGAAGAACTAGATGGTGCCGGCTACACGACTAAGTTCTCTGAAAGGGATCTCATTAGAAGGTCCTGGATACAGAGGGAGAAAATGTACAACGAAACTCAGGATCATTTAAAAAAAACAGACGTAATGGTCAGATAGACACTGGTGGAACCCTGAGACTATGGCTCTTAGTCACTTAGTTCACTCTGAACTAAACTAATGAATGAAACTGAACTCATTCATCCCTGTGGTTCCATTTTCAGTGAAGCAATAGCTAGGTATACAGGGAGCACAACTCCACCAGGGAGGTACACACAGAAGGATGGTCAGCCGTTCGAGATCAAACGGACCGCATTTCCTTAAGGACAAGATTTGGAAGGGGAGGAAGAGAAGGAGGAATGGCATCAAGAAAGAACAGGATGAAGTGGGATAAAGTGATGTTACAAAGAGATCACGATCAAGTGGAAACAGAAGTGTATGATTTGTTGAATGTAAAACTGATGGTCGGCTCTGAAAACCTTCGTTCAACTCACAATAAACAGTTAAAAAAAAAAACAAAAAAAACAACCCACTGCCACTGAGTTAATTCATTTGTTGTTAGGTGTCACCCAATCAGTCCCAACTCATAGCGACCTTATGTAAAACAGAATGAAACACTGCCTGGTCCTGTGCCAACCTCACCATCATTGCTATGCTTGAGCCCACTGGCTGCTGCCATTGTGCTGATCCATCTTGTTTGGATTGGTACGTGATCTTCCTCTTTTTCTCTGACCCTCCACTTTACCAAACATGATATCCTTCTCCAGGGACTGGTCCCTTTTGATAGGTCTGAAGTATGAGAGAAGAAATCTTGTCATTCTGGCTTCTCAGGAGTGTTCTGGCTGTACTTCTTCCAACACAGATTGATTTGTTCTTTTGACAGTCCATGATATTCTTAACATTCTTCAACACCCCTCTCTCTGCGAGGTAGCAAAGATGACTGACAACAGTTAATGAGCCTCAAAACTACCTACTCACCCAAAAGAGAAGATTCAGTGTCAGTGTGCTTGGGTCACGTGTCTATCCTTCTACCAATCATTGCTGCCAGGGAGATGGAGCACTGACTGACAAGCTTTGGTCATGTGACTATGCCTGGGGCTGAAAGGGGAGTATCCAAGGGAGAAGGGGTCCTTGAGGTTGGGAAGGGATAAACCAAAGATGAGAAGAGAAGGATGGACAAGGAAGCTAGATTAATAGAAACAGAACAACCAAAACAGAAATAAGGAGACCGCTGACACATTGTGAAAAGTCACTGGTTGATATGTATTGCTGCTATTCTGACTCATAGCGACCCTGTGTAGGATTTCAAAGGAACAGCTGGTGAGTTTGAACTATCAACCTCGCAGTTAGAAGTCCAGTGCCTATCCTGCAGCACCACACTAAATTGTTAAATAAATAAGATCCTAATTTGCTATGTAAATTTTCTCCAAATTCACAATAAAATATTTTTTTAAAAAAAGAACCTCATTTTGGGAACACAGATTTCTTTGTTATGTTAATGAAGCATTCAGTTAGACCCAATCACTTTTTTTTTTTAATGTTTTACTGTGAATTATGTGATAGTTTACATGGGAGAACATTAGCTTTACATTCATCCTATCATATATCGTTTCATTGCCATGGTTACAATCCCCTCCATGCATCATCAACCAAAGGGTATACCCTGCAAGCCTGCACCCCCCACCCCCAGTCCCTCTCCTTCTCTGGGTGTAGAGTCCCCAGCTGCTCCATCTCTCCACATATCTTCTCTGCCTCCATCTCTGGTGTCACTGCTTCTCTGGGTAGGGTCCCGCTCTCCGCTCTTTTCCCTTGATGGTCCCAGACACCTCGGCTCCTGGACTGCATAGTCAATTACTCCCCTCCTTTTGCTACAAAATGTCAGCCTTTACATTTCCCACCCTCACAATCAGTCCTGATAACAATTATTCACTATTGTATCACAAGAGACCTATCCCCATCTCCTTTCATTAGCCCCGCCCAGACAGATTGGATACTACTCAGTGGAGATTCTACCTTCCTCCGTGCCCTCTGGATCTAAGCTTCCTCTCGAAAGCTTGTAAACCAGTCACTTCTTGCTTTTGTAGCTCCCCCATTTTGGGTACCAATCACTTTTGAGATATAAAGAGAGTAAGTTAAGCACAGAAGTGAGTAAGCTAAATGGGGGATCATGTGGGGTCACAGGAGATGCTAAGAACTCTCAGGAAGATGAGACAAGAAATTCCCCTCAGAACAGCCTTTCTCTAGAGTTGTTGTTAAGTGTCGTCAAGTCGGTTCTGATCCATAGTGACCCTGTACAGGGTTTCCAAGGAGCAGCTGGTGGGTTTGAAGCACCTTTCAGTTCAAACTGCCCTTGAAACCCAGTGCATTATCCTGCAGCGTGCTGAATTTGAACTTTCAGACTCTGTGAGAAAATTAATTTGTGTTCCTAAAAGTCACTCAGTTGTGGTATTTTTATTACAGCAGCATGTGGTGCTTCGGGTTAACCTGCTGGACTGCAAAGTCGGTTTGAACCACAAGGTCAGTGGTTCAGGCTCACCAGTCACTCCTCGGAAACCCTATACAGGGTCTCCATGAGTCGGAACCAGCTAGATGGCACTTAACAATAACAACAACAAGAAGAAACTAAGATTCATGGAATTGATTCTGACTTACAGTGACCCCTTATACTGCAGAGGAGAATGGTACCCCACAGGATTTTCAGGATGTGACCTGAAAGAAGTAGATTGCCAGAGGTTTTTTCCAGGCATCTCTGGGTGGGTTCGAACCATCCATTTTTTGGTTAGTAGTGGAATGTTAACCGTTTGCACTACCCAGGGACTCCCTACAAGGGCAGAGGTCCATCTAGCCACAAAGCTTCCTTCAATCTTTGGCCCAGTACCACAACCTCCTTGTGCCCACTCCACTCCCTGCAGGTGGGTGTTTGTCTTCGAGAAGGGGTACCAGACCTCAAGTGGCCTCATCAGTAGTGTGTCTGTGAAACTCAAGGGCCTGGCTGTGACGCGGCTCCCAGGTCTCGGCTCCCAGGTCTGGGACGTGGCTGACTACGTCTTCCCAGCCCAGGTGAGCTGACTTGGGTGAACCTTCCACCTGCAGGCCTGATGCAGAGCTGGGTGGGGCTCTGCCAGCCTCCCTTAGGGACCTCCCATCTCTCTCTGGGCCTCAGTTTCCCTGTGAATCTACCTGTTTCCTTGGCAGATCAGGGAATGTAATTTCCATTCTGACATCCTGGGATAAAGGCTGCTGGGGCAGTATTTGGGTCCTCGGGTCTCTCCCAGCATACAGTCTTGTTGTCCCTCCCATACAGGGGGATAGCTCCTTTGTGGTCATGACCAATTTCATCGTGACCCCCCAGCAGGCTCAAGGCTATTGCGCAGAGGTAAGGACTGCTGCTTCCCCGTCTTGGACTCTTGGGGGAAATTGCTAGAAAGGAAGTCCCCTCAGGCCCTGGAGGAGAAGCCAGAGAGGATTTCCGTTGGGACCACAGTGGTGGGATTTCAGGTGGACTCACTCGGATTCATGGTCCCCCCGTGTGTCAGTGTTTAACTACCCTTTATAGGGTTTCCAATGGCTGCTTTTCCACAAGTAAACCACCAGGCTTTTCTTCCAAGGCACCGCTGGGTGGGCTCAAACTAACAACCTTCAGTCCAGTGAATAAACTGTTTGTACCACTCAGGGACTCCAATGGTGGGATATCAGCCATAGATTCACACAAATTAACAGTCATTGGCAGTGCCAAGAAACCTTCCCTCCATGTGCCGAGCTGGACACTAGGCCTCAGTGTCCACACACGCCCACTTCCCTGCCCTGGCTGACAGTGGCCATCAAACAGCTGGATAAGAGCTCAGAAGGGTCCTTGATGGGGCAGAGTAAGAGGGGATTAGAGGGAGGTGGCTGTGAGCCAGGGTCACCCCCAATGGGGTCTGAGACTCTGCCCCACACCCTCCCTAGGGCTCAGGGGGGCGGGAGGGGCTCTCCTCAGGACCCCACCCAAGAGGTGTGGGGCCAGCAGCTCTCCCCTCCTCCAGCACCCAGAAGGGGGTACATGCAAAGATGACAGCGGCTGCACCCCCGGGAAGGCAGAAAGGAAGGCCCAAGGTAAGATCACCTTCCACGGCCCCTCCCTCCACAGTTCCCCTCAGCTCTAGGCCCGAGGCCCTTCAAGACCATCTTCCATTGACTTGCTTCTGTCCCCACCCTGGCTGTTCTCCTGTCCTCCACAGGAAATCCTTCCTGTTCTCTGCCTCTCCTGCCACTCTGGCCTTGGTTGGCCTTGTGCCAGAGCCAGCTACTTCTGTCCTTAGGGTCTTTCTCTGGGCTGCCCCATCCCTGGGGGCTCCAAGGGCCATGGTCTGGGATGGCTTCTCCACCCCAGCTTGGAGCTCTCAGGCCTTCCTTCCTGATTCCAGGCATCCGAACCGGCAAGTGTGTGGCCTTCAACAACACTATACGTACCTGTGAGATCTTCGGCTGGTGTCCTGTGGAGGTGGATGACCATGTTCCACGGTAATGTCCTTGTCTTTCCAGGGAGCAGGGTCCCCAGCCCAGACAAGAGGGAAATCTGGATCTGTGCTCTGAGAAGAATCTAGATTCCCTTCTGTCTGACATCCCCAACCCCATCCCAAGAGTCCATCATAACAGTACACCCATCCCCCCATGGGAGGAACGCATTTGGCCTGCACCCCCCAGCCCCATTATTCTAAGTTCTATGTGGGGTACACATGCGGTCTCCTGGGGAGGGTGGTGAATGAGTTCGGTCTCCTCCAGCCCTGCCCTTCTCCATGAGGCCAAGAACTTCACTCTCTTCATCAAGAACAGCATCAGCTTTCCACGCTTCAAGGTCAACAGGTTCGTGGGAAATGCAGCAGCGAGGCAGGCGGCTCCGAGGGTGCTTCAGCTGGTCTCCACTGCCTCTGCCCCTTCCATCCCTGCTGGTTTCACTTGGGCTGGGCCCCTGGGGTGGGCTGTCAGAGGTTTCCATAGACAATGGAATTTCTGGGGGTAGAAGGGATCCCCAGAGCTTCTGGGCATGGTGGCACCCTTCCACTGCTGCTGCCAATGTCCTCTGCCCCAACAGGCACAACCTGGTGGAGGAGGTGAATGGCACCTACATGAAATCCTGCCTCTACCACAAAACCAACCATCCGCTGTGCCCTGTCTTCGAGCTTGGCTATGTGGTGCAAGAGTCAGGCCAGAATTTTAACTACATGGCTGAGAAGGTACTGGGGAGGAGAGGTCTGTGTCAGGCCAAGATGGGGACCCAGGGTCATCAGATCAGAACAGGCTCTTAGGACCCTGAAGCCTCCCTGGTATGGGCCAAATGTATGTCTGGGCCTGTCCCCTTAGTCCTCATGTCTGTCATCGGCAGGGCTTGGCATGGACCTGGCACAGAGGAGGGTCCACGATGAATAGGCATTGTCAACTGGGTATCAGCTAAGGCCCCAATGTCTTCTAAATATTAGACAAAAAGCAGCTTGAGTCCCAAAGCCCATGAGCCCCTGTGGAAATAACAAATACCACCTAAATGAGAATAAGCAGAGGCTATGTCGTGTAGCTCGGTATACCGAGCAGCCAGCAGCCACCATCACGTCAGACAGACAGTGAAAAGGGGAAGGCTTTAGCTATGGCTAAGGATGCCTGGTCTGGCGCTGTAAGCCTTCAAATCACAAGATCAGCAGTTCAAACCCACCAGCTGCTCCTCGGAAACCCTATACAGGGTCACTGTGAGTCAGAACCTACTCGACAGCACTTAATAACAACAACAAGGTCTGGTGGAGCAGTGATTAAGCGCTCTGCTGCTAACTAAAAGGTTGCTGGTTTGAACCCACCAGCCATTCCATGAGAGAAAGACTAGTGGCCCCATAAAGATTGTTTTGTTGTTAGATGCCATCGAGTCAATATGGACTCATAGAACTTTATGCACAACAGAATGAAACACAACATTGTCACAATTGTTACCCTTAAGCTCACTGCTCTTGCCGCTGTGCCAATCCATCTCACTGGGGGTCGTCCTCTTTTTCGATGACCCTCCACTTTATTAAGCATGTCCTTTTCCAGGGGCTGGTTCTGCCTGATAATATGTCCAAAGTATGAGAGACAAAGTCTGGCCATCCTGGCTTCTAAGGAGCATTCTGGCTGCACTTCTTCCAACACAGATTTGTTTGTTCTTCTGGAAGTCCATGGTACTTTTAATATTCTTCTCCAAAGTCATAATTCATTGCCCATCTTTACATGCATATGAGGAGATTGAAAATATCAAGGTTTGGGTAAGGCAAACCTTATTCCTCAAACTAATATCTTTGCTCTTGAACATTTTAAAGAGGTCTTTTGCAGCAGATTTGCATAATGCAATACATCTTTTGATTTCTTAACTGCTGCTTCCCTGAGTTAGAAAACCAAAAGGGAAGAACACACTCAACATTTCTCAATCTGAAAGAACTGAAGAAAAATTCAAAAGAAGTTGGTAGAATTTTGCAATTTCATCACCGCTGGCTATAGTGTGTGGATCTAAGCAAAATGAAGTTTTTGACAACTTCAAACTTTTCTCCATTTATCATGTTGCTATTTATTGATCCAGTGGTGAGGATTTTTGCTTTCTTTACATTGAGGTTCAATACTGAAGGTTGTAGTCTTTGATCCTTCATCAGTAAATACTTAAAGTCTTCTCTGCTGCTACCAGCAAATTTGTATCATCTGCATATCACAGGTTGTTAATGAGTCGTCCTCCAATCTTTTTTATTTTTTTCCCCCAATCTTGATGCCACATTCTTCTTCACATAAGGAAGAGCCTCAGATTATTTACTCAACATATAGACAGAATAAGTATGAGGAAAGGATTCAACCTTGACACACACCTTTCCTGATTTTAAACCGTTCAGTATCCCCTTGTTCTGTCCTAACCACTGCTTCTTGGTATAGGTGCAGGTTTCTCATGAGTACAATTAAATGTTCTGGAATACCCAATATTCACAATGTTATCCATAGTTTGTCATGATCCACCAGTAAAAGGTCTTTGCATAGTCAATAGAGCACAAGTAGACATTTTTCTGGTATTCTCTGCTTTCAGCTAAGATCCATCAGATGTAAAAAAATTATATCCCTTGTTCCATGTCCTCTATTAAATCTGGTTTGAATTTCTGACAGTTCCCTGTTGATGTACTGTTGTAACCGTTTTTAATTACCTTTGGCAAAATTCTACTTGCGTGTAATGTTAAGAATATTGTTAGATGATTTCTGCATTTCATTGTTCACCTCCTTTGGAATGGGCACAAATATGGATTTTTCAAATCAGTTGGCCAGGTAGCCGTCTTCCAGATTACTTGGCATAGATGAGTGAACTCCTCAAATGCTGCATCAGTTTGTATTCCAAACTGTATTCACAAATGCCTTGCCCTCCCCCCCTCAACTTTTTATTGTAAATTGAGTAAAGGTAAACAGACAAGATCATCAGCTTTACTTTCAACCAATCATACCTTTAGTTTCATCTCAATGATTACCCTGCTTCCATCCTGTTGCTTCATCAATGTGTTTAGTATCATTGGTTCTTGATCATATGCTACCTGTTGAAATGATTGAATATTGACCTTTATTATTATTATTGTTTTGATACAGTGACTGTGTGTATTCCTTCTCTCTCTTTTTTTAAATGTTTTCTGCAACATTCAATCCATAGACTTCTTCAATATTACAAGTCAAGGCTTGAACTACCTTCTTCAGTTCTTTCAGATTGAGAAATGTTTCGTGTGTTCTTCCCTTTTGTTTTTCTAACTCCAGGTCTTTGCACGTTTCATTATAATACTTCATATTGTCTTTTCGAGCTGCCCTTTGAAATTTTCTGCTCAACTTTTACTTCCTCATTTCTTCCATTTGCTTTAACTTCACTACACTCAAGAGCAAATTTCAGAATCTCTTCTGACATCCATTTTGGTCTTTTCTTTCTTTCCTGTCTCTTAAATGACCTTTTGCTTGCTTCCTGTATGATGTTCTTGATGTTATCCTACAACTCTTCGGATCTTCGGCCATTAGAGTCTAATGCATCAAATCTGTTCTTGAAATGGTCTCTAAATTTAGGTGGGATATGTTCAAGGTCATATTTTGGCTCTTGTAGACATGTTTTCATTTTATTCAGCTTCAGCCTGAACTTACATGTGAGAAATTGATGGTATGTTCCACAGTCTGGCCTTGGTTTTGTTTTGTCTGATGATATTGAGTATCTCCATCATCTCTTCCTAAAAATGTAGTGAATATGATTTCTGTGTATTCCATCTGGTGGGGTTCATGTGTATAGTCAGCTTTTATGTTGCTTTAAAAAGGTATTTGCAATGAATAAGTTGTTGGTCTTTCGAAATTCTATCATGAGATTTCCAGTGTCATTTCTATAATCAAGACTATATTTTCTAACTACTGTTCCTTCCTCTTTGTTTTCAACATTTACATTCCAAACACCAGTAATTATCAGTGCATCTTGATTGCATGTTTTTTCAATTTCAGACTCAAGAAGGTAGAATTCTTCAATTTCATCATCACTGGCTTTAGTGGTTAGTGTATAAATTTGAATAATAGTGATATTAACTGGTCTTCTTAGTTGTTGTTGTTGGTATGTGCTATCAAGTCGGTTCCAACTAACAGCAACCCTAAATAGGATTTCCAAAGAACGTCTGATGAGGTTGAACTCCCGACCTGTGGTAAGCAGTCCAGTGCTTATCCTACAGCGCCACACCAGGAAGACCTATCACAGGCAGCATTGTACTTCAAGACTGATCTTGAAATGTTTTTTGATGATGTATGTGCTGCCGTTCCTGTTGAGTTTGTTGTTCCTGGCATAGGAAACCATACGATGGTTTCATTCAAAATGGCCAATTCCACTCTATTTCAGATCACTAATGCCTAGGATATTAATCTTTATGCATTCCATTTCATTTTTGACAACTTCCAATTCCTAGATTCATACTTTGTACATTTCATGTTGTGATTATTAATGTACGTTTACAGCTGTGTAAACATACATTTTGAGTTGTGCCTCATCAACAAATGAAGGTCTCAAAAGCTTTACTCCATTCAGGTAATTGTGGTCGACTTTACTTTGAGAAGGTAGCTCTTCCCCAGTTATACACATATTTTTTTTTTATTTAAGGTTTTTATTGTGGATTGAGTGAAAGTTTACAGGGCATATCATCAGTTTTACATTCAACAAATCATACACCTTGTTTCATTACAATG